GTGAGTCAGCGATTTGTCTTTTTTTCTGGATTATTACCGTTTGTATTTATGTGTGTGTGTTGTGTGTGTGTGTGTGTGTGTGGTGTGTGTGTGTGTGTGTGTGTGTGTGTGGTGTGTGTGTGTGTGTGTGTGTTGTGTGTGTGTGTGTGTGTGTATGTACACACACACACACACACACACACACACACACACACACACACACACACACACACACACACACACACACACACACACACACACACACACACACACACACACACACACACACACACACACACACACACACACACACACACACACACACACACACACACACACACACACACACACACACACACACACACACACACACACACACACACACACACACACACACACACACACACACACACACACACACACACACACACACACACACACACACACACACACACACACACACACACACACACACACACACACACACACACACACACACACACACACACACACACACACACACACACACACACACACACACACACACACACACACACACACACACACACACACACACACACACACACACACACACACACACACACACACACACACACACACACACACACACACACACACACACACACACACACACACACACACACACACACACACACACACACACACACACACACACACACACACACACACACACACACACACACACACACACACACACACACACACACACACACACACACACACACACACACACACACACACACACACACACACACACACACACACACACACACACACACACACACACACACACACACACACACACACACACACACACACACACACACACACACACACACACACACACACACACACACACACACACACACACACACACACACACACACACACACACACACACACACACACACACACACACACACACACACACACACACACACACACACACACACACACACACACACACACACACACACACACACACACACACACACACACACACACACACACACACACACACACACACACACACACACACACACACACACACACACACACACACACACACACACACACACACACACACACACACACACACACACACACACACACACACACACACACACACACACACACACACACACACACACACACACACACACACACACACACACACACACACACACACACACACACACACACACACACACACACACACACACACACACACACACACACACACACACACACACACACACACACACACACACACACACACACACACACACACACACACACACACACACACACACACACACACACACACACACACACACACACACACACACACACACACACACACACACACACACACACACACACACACACACACACACACACACACACACACACACACACACACACACACACACACACACACACACACACACACACACACACACACACACACACACACACACACACACACACACACACACACACACACACACACACACACACACACACACACACACACACACACACACACACACACACACACACACACACACACACACACACACACACACACACACACACACACACACACACACACACACACACACACACACACACACACACACACACACACACACACACACACACACACACACACACACACACACACACACACACACACACACACACACACACACACACACACACACACACACACACACACACACACACACACACACACACACACACACACACACACACACACACACACACACACACACACACACACACACACACACACACACACACACACACACACACACACACACACACACACACACACACACACACACACACACACACACACACACACACACACACACACACACACACACACACACACACACACACACACACACACACACACACACACACACACACACACACACACACACACACACACACCACACACACACATACACATACACACACAACACACACACTCACGCACACACACACACATCCAGAATATTTTAAAAAGCACTGATATTTATTTTCCCGTAAAAATGTTTGAGACAAAATGGCCCACATACACAATTAAAAGCAAACTGTTGCCTTTTAATTGTGTATGAGGGCCTTTTTTTCTTTTTTGGAGAAACTCCGAGCTGTCTGATCCTTTTCATCCTCAACCAAAGTATATATATTATATACGCACCTTGGCGGAGGTATGCACTCTCTGAGTGCTTTTCTAGTTTAATTTGTATTTTAATTCCAGTCACCGGCATTTTCGACTTCTAAACCTATAGGAACCTAAATTTAGAACTAAATTCCTTTGTAGAATAAGTTCCCACATCAATGCATGATCATAAAACAATGAATATGAAGAAGAAAAAAACGCAAAACTAATTGTGATGAATCATAAATCTGAATTCATTATCTTCTTGTTTTCATTTGTTTTCGTCGTCTTCTGTCTCTCTCTCTCTCCCTCTCTCTTTCTTTCTATTCCTCTTCCTCTATCTATGTACCTTTAACTCTATATCTATCCCTATCCATCTCTTTCTCTTTTCCGCCCAATTCCGTTCTCTTTTTGTATTTAGAATTTATATATTGTATAAAATCGGTGTTCAAAATATTTACCTCCGCCAAGGAGGTTATGTTTTTGACGGCGTTGGTTTGTTAGCAGCGTAGCTCAAAAAGTGCTGGCCGGATTTCATCGAAATTTTTGGGAACAAGTCAGAAAGGGACTAACTTAGAACTGATTAAATTTTGGTGACATTCCGAATTACCGTCTGGACGCAGCAGCGGTGTAAGTACATCCGAAAGATAATCATGATATTTTTGGACTTGGCTGTGTCCCGGGTGTCACTGTGGATGCAGTAGCGGTGCAAGTACATCCGAGCGATAATTATGATGTTCTTAATTAGACTTGGCAGCGTCCCGCATGTCACACTCATAAAAAAAACTTAATCACCGTCTGGATGCAGCAGCGGTGGAAGTACATCCGAACAATGATTATGGTGTTCCTAGACTTGGCCGCGTCCCGCGTGGCATACAAAACACACACACACACACATACACATACACACACAACACACACACTCACGCACACACACACACACACACACACACACACACACACACACACACACACACACACACACACACACACACACACACACACACACACACACACACACACACACACACACACACACACACACACACACACACACACACACACACACACACACACACACACACACACACACACACACACACACACACACACACACACACACACACACACACACACACACACACACACACACACACACACACACACACACACACACACACACACACACACACACACACACACACACACACACACACACACACACACACACACACACACACACACACACACACACACACACACACACACACACATCCAGAATATTTTAAAAAAGCACTGATATTTATTTTCCCGTAAAAATGTTTGAGACAAAATGGCCCACATACACAATTAAAAGCAAACTGTTGCCTTTTAATTGTGTATGAGGGCCTTTTTTTCTTTTTTTTTTTTTTTTTTTTTTTTTTTGCTCTGTAAATATTCTTTTTTTTTTTTTTTTTTTTTTTTTTTTTTTTTTTTTGCTCTGTAAATAATTTTTTTTTTTTCTTTTTTTTTTTTTGCTCTGTAAATATTCTTTTTTTTCCTCTTTTCTCTTTCCTTTTTACTTCTAGACAATGACAGGTTAACTTTATCATTAATTTGCGGTGTGTCTATTCTTCTCCAGCAAACGAAATGTAACATCTTTCCCGGCGTTTAGTTGTTTATTGTTTTCTTGTTTTTTTGTTTTTTTGTTTTTTTTTTTTATTTTGATAAATATTGGTGGTGAACCGGATCCGCACCCGGGTAAATCCACACATTCTCCAGTGCGAACACTTATAGAAAAATGGGTTTGCTAGTATTACTAAATCGATTGCCTTATCAATTATGTTTTTTTTTTTCGTTCACATTTTATATCTGTCGATTTATAGATAGCCATATAGTTACATGTACATAACATATAGCTAACATATGGGTATGTGTTATAACTAGTGTCTATTGATTCATAGATCGCTAGACATGTATATTTGCCTGTTTATGGGTAGATCGAGCGATATACATATATATATATGTATATATGTATGTATGTATGTATATATATATATATATATATATGTATGTATGTATGTATATGTGCATTTCAATTTTAAGGGGTTGGATGAGGTTTGGGCTGAGTAATTTCCAGTTACCATTAAAGTTATTGTTATTATCATTATTATTATTATTATTATCATTACTATTATCATTCACGACATTTTCAACCTATATTATTTTCCTCATTATTAACAGTCTGTATTGTTATTATTATTATCATTACTCTAATTATCATCAACATCATTATCGTTATCATTACAATTTCTACTATTAACATCATTATTTCCTAATATGCTTATGACAACATCTTCCTAAGTTACGACTTATATTTTTTTCTCAAAGTTTGTTTAAGTTGGCAAAAAGCTCCTGTTGAGGTAGGTCTATGTAACCTTCATGTTCATATCTAACAGTTGCTTAACTCTATCATTTCAACTCTGCAATAATTAATTTTATTGGCCATAATTATGAATTGAATTATTAGTTACAAATTATATCAACCGCGAATGACAGAGAAAGGTAAATACGGTTAGAGTTTCCTTTTTCTGTGCGTACCTGTTAACCCTATATCCTGTTGGAAGGTGTGCAAGTTGCTGGTGTTTGTTTGTTTGTTTTTAAAAGTGCCTGTTTTCTCTTGGTGCTTTGTCAGTTTTTTTTCGTGCGAAGAGATACAAGATATATGCATGGAGAAACAAACGGATATGTGAGTGTGTATACATGTACATGGAAATACCCACATAGAAAAAAGTAACATGCACAG